AGAATACTTGACACCGCCACCCCCTCCCCCTCTTTTTTTTTTTTCTGAGGTGCAATATATCAATATATATAAAGTTTAAACTTTGGATCAAGTTTGATCCCTGTCGTTGCCCTTTAATTCGTTGATGGTGACCCTTGCTAGAAATTGGGTCTAGTCGCTATATCTAGAAACCAACACTGCTGATCATCAGGTGTCTTGGAGTATTTCCCATCAGTCCAAGTGATGCTGTTCGCTGTAGCTTCTTTGTAATCTGCTAAGCCCCATAAAGTAAAGTGAGGCATAATGTTGATTCTGGCTGTTGACCAGGTACCGTCGGTGTCAATTTACGAGTGGAGTGAAAACTAGTCGGTTCACCTCGGTAGGAGCCAGCGCAGGAGCTTCATATGCGTATTCTTTAATGGTGCAGTGTATGTTTGAATATTGTTCCAGATTGGTGTTTTATTAATTATTTTTATTTGACAGTGTGGTGAGTAATTTTCTCTGATTCTAGAGTATTTGCATTATGCATCAGTGGTCGTATTTTGAGGAGGAAATAAATAATAATAATAATAATAAGCTTCTTTGTCTTGAAGTCTTCCTTGATCTATTGAAATGTCCTTCCAGTAAGCAGCCTATGTATGGTGCTAGACACCTTGAATTATGTTTATGTGTTTTGTCTGTGCATCAGAACACAGGTGGATTCTTCCAGCCCTCGGAAAGAGAGACGTTAATTGGTGAGCACTGTTAGAGGGGAGGCTATTCTCACTATTCCAGGAAATATGGCATGGGAAAATTTTCAGGGACAAGGAAATCTTCAGCAAGATTCATCCTATTAATAGTGTGCGCTCAGAGAGGCATGGACTCGGTATCATCCCATCTCCTGAAAACGTTTGTTACATAGTTAGTTAGTACACAGTTATTAGATCAAGTTTGATAGATTTGAAACATAACGAGTATGCAGTAATCGTTAACTTACTGCTTTTTTGTTTTCTCATAACCGGCAGAAAATATAAGCTCGGAACATCCATCCTATAGCAGTTTTCCCCCAGACTTGAGATTTCAATTTTAGAAAGACAAAAGTGCAGTCAAGTGCCAGCACGATGATTAGCCAATGATACATCAGACTTCATCAATGAAAACATGTCCAGTAAATGGAATAGTAAATCTCAATTATTATACCTACCACCGCTGGACTTTTAATATTTAGCAAGGACATATATGTTATTTTGGAACTCGATATAAAAAAGATCCTTTTTTTTATTTATTTATTTATGGGGCAATACGTGGTATGTATCGAGGAATTGGTTCACCTAATGCCTACCTATAGTTTCCAACCTAAATCTCAGACCCAAGCAACTGTTCCATCCAAATTCTCTCGTTAGATTGGAGTAAGTAGGCAGCTTAACTTGGAAATCTTACATGCTGACATCAGTTAGCCATTTGATTAAGAGATCAAGTTTTGTTTTTTTTTTGTTTTTTTGACCCCACACTCTTCCACTCCATGGTAGCAGTCACAGAGAAGCATGCTCTTCTTCCCCAGTATCACATCAAGCAACTCATCTTCTCTCTCTCTCTCTCTCTCTACCCTGATAAATGTGCTTTGCATATAAATGGAGAGACACATGTTGATTAACGTCTAAGAGATGGTTTAGTTAGTATTATATGAGTGATTAGTGTTACCGGTGAGGAATATTTTTTATTAGTGCAATTTATGTTGTAATTTAAGGAAATAGATTGGCTTTTCTACCGTTACTTGATCCACCCACCAAACCCGCGGCCATGACGTTTCGGACGAGAATATAACGGTTCGGCGATACGGAGGCGTCCCGCGGTATTTATATACCGTTGCGTCGTCGTCTCACCCCCATCGTATGACGACTCCATCGCCAAAGCTCGAGACTTGCGAAATAGAGGAGGGAGAGGAGCCGCTCCGTGTTCTCCTGTCCCAAAAGCTCAGTCTTTGCGCCGGTGATGGGGGATCCCTCGCTTCCTCCTCCGCCCAATGCGCGCTTCTTGTTCGGGTCATCGGCCTTGGACGACTCGTACCGGCCGCTCCCTTCGCTCTACCTAGCGTTCCTGGCGATCTGGGCCATCTCCGCCTTCGCCTGGACCATTAACACCTGGAGGAACCGTTTTCCCCAGGTCCGTTGCCTTCCCTATCTTGTTCTTTGACCGAAAAGGTTCCGGCTTGAGCGCTTCGTGGTTGCTCTCGATGGTGTCGAGCACCTACTGATGCATCCTTTTCCCCTTCTACCCTTTTAATTAGCCGTCGGTTCATCTCGTCCGAGCTTTTTTTGCTTGGCAGCAGAAGGACTTTAATTTCATTTGTAAGAGGATGTGTGAACTTGCAATTGTATGAATTCCATGGTAGACTGCGAGGAAAATGCATCTTAGTGGTATCATGTTTGTCATGAAGATTTTGTTTGAGTAATATGCAATTGTATGTACTCATAGCAAAAAAATTAAAAATGAATTGCTATTTTATATAATATATAGGGATTTATAGGAGAAAAAAAAAATGTATTTGTGTTATGTGATGGTAAAGGCTGCCCCTGTTTGTTCTAATTTATGCTGTTATGCATGATTTCTGCTGGAGCAGACGAGCAATCTGCAGTGGATGTTGGCTTCAATTCCGCTTACTAAGACTTTGCAACTGGCGCTTTCATCTTCATTCTGGTGAGCAACTGAAGAAAGATTATTCTATGATGATCAATGCAATCTGTCTACCCTCCTGTGTTCTTTATATATTCATCTTATATCTAAGATTTGTGATGTTATTCTTTTTGCTTCTTTGATGCATGTGGTGACTATTCCCAAGTTGTAGGATATCCTCTACATCCCAAGATAATTATACGTCTATTTTGAATTAGTGCTTAGACTATATCAAAGCTAATTAAGATGGTCTCACAGGTCTATGTGAAATGACCATTATCTAAGTTGTTACAATTTGATGAATATAACCTTGTTTCTTCTGTCCTCTGACTTCCAGGTATATTTATCCATGTCCCATTTAATCTGAATGCATTTAGTTTGAGTTCATTGTGTTTTTTTATCGAATCATTAGAGAAGAGTTTGAATGTCATTCATGTATAGATTCACCATCTTATGCAAAGATTCAATTTTCGTGTAGCATCCGATGGATTATGCAATTAGATGTCTGCCGTATTATATATTCTGGTAAGAAAGAGTGCATTGAAACGAACATATATAGAATTACTCTGGAACATGTGCATTCTTAACTAAATCATCTTGGTCATTGCTGAGAACATCGACCAATAAAGATTTACATTGGGCCTTAACCTTGATCCAGTTTTGTTCTGATTAAGCATATGTGCATGCATAATAATTTATCACTATATGATGCATTAGAGGTTTGGAATTGAGCAACTGTTTATTTACCTGATACCGCCCTTTCTGATGAACTGAATAAGAGAGGTTGCTTGATGAAATTTACATGGTTGGGAAGGTAACTTAAACTTGTTTTGTTGTGACACCACTTCTGATTGAGCTACCATGCTGATGATTCTTTGATTCTTTCCACTTTATGTTATAATTAGTCAGTTTCTTATTATGACATCTACAATTGAGAAAATCAGGACAAGTTTTGAATTTATGTCATTCATGTCCTCCCATAAAAGTATAAATGTTTGGGTGTTTTGTGCAGGTATTCTTGCATAAATCTTCAGATATGCTCACTGTGGATGTCCTTTGGGGTGTATGTAACTGGAATACTCTTTCAAACTGCCTCATTTGTGTCATTTATGCTCATATCTCATGGTTACTGCATCATCTATGAGCGTCTTTCAGTACGTGAACGACGTATGACAGCTGCGTTGAGCTGCATACTCTACCTGACCCTTGTTGGTTATAGAGCTGCTGTGCCTTATTTCACGGTAGGTCTCCTCGATGTAAACCACATCCCTATAAAAGAGCCCACCGTTCTAAGCTAGTAGATTGAAATATCTCATCATTGAGGATCAGATAAGAATTCAAGCTACGGCATTCAACAATTAATTTGTGATAGGAACTTCTTTTGCTAGTGCATTTTGGTAATTGTAAGAGTTGATTTAAATCTGTATTGAAAAGTTTACCAAAGCTGATTGCAATACCAGGCATTCCTTCTGCTGAACTACTCGTTGTCATTCTACATAATCTTCCGCCATACCTCCCAAAATCTGTCAGTTCTGCACGAACAGTTGACCTTTATAGAGAATGAAGATACTCATGCAATGCACAATGCATTGCGTACAAAGTACACAATGTTGAAGTATGTCTTACACCCTTGTCTTTTTGATATCTATAAAACAAAAAATTTATATTTTTTATTAATTCTTTTGATTGCATCTGCTTCCATCAGGAAATTTCAAGGTGCAATGCAATTTGTAGCTGTGGTAGAAGCTATGGTATGACCATTGAAGTTATCAATTCCGACTATTTATCTACTGATATAATTATTGGAATTTTATGACAAACATATACCTCATACTTCAGATCTATTTGAATGTTGATGAGACACTGGATAATTATTGGTTTCGTTTGTTGGTACGGGAATGGGCACAATTTTGCATCTTCCTGTACATTGGGTAGGTTGAAAGCAGATACACATGTTTAATTTGCATTCTGCTAGATATTTAGGTTCAACATATTAGACTGTCTAACATGCATTTGATCATGGTAGACTACTTTGTTATAGTTACATGTGGAGTGAATTGCTTTTACTTTCTTTTCAGGTGGACTTTTAGAACACAGGAAGTTTCACTACATTTCTCTGTGATGCCTGCCTTGAAGTCCAAAATGGAGATGATAGTGCCTCCTGTATATAGCATAGTATGTTCCTCTTCTTGGATCTGTAATATACAGTAAATCTGATTGGTTCATTGTATTTAGTTGTTCAATTTTGTAACCATCGTATATCTTTGGCTATGCATTTTTCTTTTTCAAAATGCATAACGTATGATGTATCATGTTTCTATGAACAACAAAGAAGAGCCTTTATATTGAACAATAATAGGTTCATTTCCATCAGATTCTGTAGAGAAGTTTGAAGATGTATCTAACATATTAAGACTGTTTGACCATAGGTGGAAAGTTTCATCTAAATTCTATTTTTGGGTTACAGAACAAGAAGTAGGATGAGAAAGTACCGGTGTATTGCAAGCTAGAAGTGAAAGGAAGGGCATATTTTTCTGTTTCTGTGGTTTCCACCTTATTGCCATAAACCTACTGGTAACATGTATGAAGGTTCCTAAACTAACAGACAGTGAGTAGACTCTATCGGGCACTCAGTGAACTAGCTAAGATAGTTGAGTTGCCTCTATATCATTTATTAGGAAACAAAAGGATATTGTTCAAGCATCTGAATTGTTTTTTATTGGGTCTATATTATGTTCAGTGACTTCCATGTTTGATTTCTAAAATTACTCTGCATATAATTAAGAGGCATGAGGATTAGTTGTCGAGGAAAGAGCTTTACCTTATTACAAATGTTGCTCACCCCTCTAATGCTGGCTTGTTACTATACTGAGAAGTCAATGCTTTTAAGATCTCTGTTAGTGAAGATTAAGCAGGTAATGCACCATAGCAACTGGTACAAAATTATATATTTGTTCTTTTAGTATTCATGTAAAGTTAATGGCAATTATTTGTGAGGTATATTATAACACACGATAGGCATACTCAATCTTTACTGCTACTTTTTTTAAACCAAACTTTAACTCGTCATCTTGAATTTGGCTTGTATGCAGAAAATTTATTTGTTTATTTCATCAGTCTAATTTCTCTAGCATTCAAAACCATTGTATTTAGTATGTCATTTCCTCAATTTCTTGAGCAGTATAAGTTGGAATACGATCAGTTTAACCCTTTGGACTAAATGATAAACATTTCAGGAAATGGATGCTGCTGACTTTAATGATTTGGTTTCTCAAGAATGCCATGTTGGTGTGGTAAGTGGGAAAACAATTTGTTAAGTTTGCATTATTTTCTCGTATAATGTTAAAGCAACTCTTTTTCATAATTTCACCTCTTTTTTTTGTCCTTTCCTTCTCCCAAATCACTCGGGCACATACACATAACTCACAGTAATGGAAGTTCGACTCGGTCATTTTGCAGCAAACTTGTTTTCCTAGTTCGACCAATGAACATTTCTTCAAGCCAGTACTGATTATAGTTCAAAACCCACGATCAGCAAGCAGGCATTCCACAGAAGCACTTACAAGATCAACCTCCAATAGTGCTAGATCAACAAGCAAGTGTGGGCTTGTCGAGGATCGAGTTTAAACTGAAGCAAAAGTAGATCTGTACCGACAGTCATGACAAAGTGGTACATTGCAGTTTATGCTGCCGATAAGAGCTGTATATCATTATGATCCTTTGACATTTTTATACGTAAATAGCATTTTGACCCAAAATTAGGGTCATCTTACATGTAATATGTAATTTGCAAAAAGTACATTTTTGAATGTCAGAAAGAAAAATACATCTCTCCACCGTCCTCATTATGATGTTGCCTTTGATTACCATCAATTTTAAGCAGTGGTGTTCTCATGGCCAAGTAGACAAAGAAAAAGAAAAAAGAAAGGAAAGGAAAAGAAGGAAAGAAAAATGGTAGGTAGGGATTCATATGTTGTTGATGCATGACTTGGCATCTTTATATAAGTTAGGGATATATATGTTATTTTTGGTATACTGATATATTACTAGTTAGGTTTCATGATAAATTTATGATGGTATTTTATATTATATATGTTGTATAATGCTATAAATCATATCATGTTGATTTATGATGGAAGTATATTTTATATTATATATGTTGTATAATGCTATAAAGACAAGCCTTGTCGATAAACAAACATGTCAGTATTAGTGGGATTGATGAATAGACATGTTAATATTAATAGAATGATTTTCTTTGAAGATTAATCAATCATAAAAAACAATAATCAAACGGTCTTCGTATCTTTCTTTCTTTACATGCCACTTCAATTCTATACGATGAATTTGTATGCTGCATATATCATTATCCCGAGGTTGCACATTAATCGTGTAAGAACAAGACATAAAAGAAAATGCTATTACAATGTGATATTTCACCATTAATTTCACTTGTGTAAATAATAGGAAAGATTTCACCTTCCATTATAAGTAAAACAAATGATTCCGCCCAAATTGCAATGCTTCAATGGATACACGTCTCGTAGAAAACCCACCTCCAACGGTGGTACCGACCAGGAGCCGTTCACAGACGCAGGTCATCTCGGTGACGGTCGTGATTCGAGCATCGGGAAGTCCCGTACAAGGCTCTAAGGACGGGATCCCGTCCAAGTCGGCGAGTGTGTCCCTGGATAAAATCCTTCGCTGGATTTGAAATGTCGATCGATTAGGTACTTAGGGCTGGATCTCGTATCCTCTTTCCGATTTGGTCATTGCGATGGCTAAATAATTGATCGATCAGGTAATTAGGGCTCATGCTCGAGCTCGTATTGTCCTTCCGATTTGGGAATATGCCGATGGGTGAACAGTCGATCCTATTTGGGGTTCAAACTTGGTGGAAGAGTCGGCTCAACCCCGAACGCTGGCGAGATGGGCGACCCGAGGCGATCTTGGAGAGAGGATTCGCGTCATGGAGACGATGCCTGGGGTCGACCGCGCAACATCCCATGGACGCAGCCGGATCCGCCCCCACAGCCTTGGGGCGGATGGGGCTGCCCTCCCCACTCCGTCCCCCTGTGGGAGAAGATATACCTCAGCGACGTCTGTGGCATGCCATGGGAGAGGATCTGCATGATCCGGAGATGCATGTCCGTTAGTCGCCACGAGGGCGTCTTCCGATGGGACGATTCGGCGGCCTTGGAGGCTTTCCAGAACTCGAAGACCAGGCTCTGGGCGGAGTACCACGGCCGCCCCTGTGACATCCCCTTGCCTGATCCAGATATGTTTATCGACGAGGTCGACCACGACGCCGTGATCGACCCCGAACTGATCGCGGACTTGGAGATGAAGCCGGCGGATTCCGCTGATTTAGGCGACGGCCGCGTCAATAAGCTTCCTTCGGCAACGGATAACAGCGGTGGTCGTCTTCCGACTGCGAACTGGGATGTTTATCTTGCACAGGAGGTGCGGCCCACGGGATGGGGTGACGTGCCGGAACCTAATTCCTGGAACCAGCAGGGAAAGGGTGTAGTTGGCAACTCATGGAATTGCGTTGGTCGTGGTTGGGATCAGCAAGCTACTCAGGATGATCAGTGGAGGGGTCGTGGAAGGGATAATTATGTGGGTTATAATGATAGGATGAGTATCCCGTGGGAAACCTGGGAGATCACGAATAGGAATTTTGAACCAGGTAGAAGAAATGGAAGGACAAGGGACGAAGGAGGTCACTGGGGACCGAGACATACAAGACCGAAGTATCAAACCAATGCTTACCAATCAAATGACGACCGTCGGAGAAACTATAAAGGAAAAAATCGAATGACAAATCGTTGCTACAAGGAGACCCCTGCTTGAAATACATGCTATGTAGCAGTCATAGACCACATCTTGTTGCTGATACACAACTTTGCAGTTTGACAGGTTATGTTTGATGTCTTTTGCCATTTCACTTAGAAATTACTATGGATACAGATTTTTTATCATTGTAGTGTCTTGACATGTTCTTATTTTAGTTCAAATATTTTTATCAATATGATGTTTGATTGGCAAAACAAAATCTTGTTGTTGTATTCCTCCACCTCGACTTTACAATGTGGATGAAGATCAGACGTTCATATGTTGTTTCACATGGTATATAAGTTGGATTCCTTTGGAGCTAAAACATCAAAATGATAGGAATATCGAAGGCACATGTGCCCATGTATGTATATGCCAAGGTGATCAATATTTTTGTTTTACTTTTTATCATATGGATACAGACTTTTCTTTATATCATAGCTGGTTAACTAGATTCCAAGTCTCACATTATAGCAACATTACATTTATTTTATTTTCTTAGCTTGTCTTTTTTTTCAGTAATCAGAATACCTATTTTAAAACTTGATGGTTGTAGTAGACTTTTCACGCCCAGGTCTACAATTGTTGTCTCGCTTTGAGGAAACATTGACTTTCCATGTTTCCTCTCATTCGTACTATCTGTTTATTCACAGCATATTGGGGAATTAGGAAGGCGATATTTTTCATGCTAGATACCAATTTGAACCCATTGAAGAATCTGTATATCTGCAGATCCTAGCTTCCTTTAAACAAGGCATGATTTGCACGGTGCCCATTCTCTGAATGATGTACTATCCTTTTGGAGCACTTTTATGCAGGTTATTTATTTGATTATGGACCATGGAACTTACCTTGAGAATCCAGTGGATTTTTGGCTATAAGAAATTTGCTAAATATAGGATATATTTTGCACAACCAGAGATGCATGCTTAAAGAATGTCATCTACTCCACTTCTTTCTAAACATCCTGGTTTAGCCTAGGAGTTGAAGGGCCATCAACTCTGTGGGGTTAATCCACGATAACTGAACCTTAGGCTGTCCAAGGAGTCTTTGTTATTTGTCTATGAAACGTATTAAAAAAATGAACTGTCGTTATTGATGCCACAAAAATTCTCTGTTTAAGATGCCTTAGCTTCTTTGCATCATGAATGAAGTCTTTGAACTTTGGAGCAGAGAAGATTGCTGTAGTCTCTTTGAAGAACAATTTTATAAATTTAGGATCTGATGCACAAATGCTTAAAATGTTTGTTGCTGGAGAGTATCCGTATGAACCTGAGGTCTGCATCTTATCCCAAAGATCTGTAAAATTTTTAGTGTCCTTAAGCCAGCGCTGAGTAGTTCCTTGTAGACCAGCTCTGTAGCTGCTGTGACACACTTGTCAGTGTTTCTTAATTAATTGAAAGTTTGTACAACACAAGAAACTTGTGTGCAACAGTTAGATTTTTAAGGACATAAACCTGGCAACTCGAGCTTGTGCTTCAGTGGAAATGAAATGAAATGTTATTTAATTGAAAAACCAATGAAATGGTTCACATGAGCTGAGCTGTTTAAGTGAACTCTATTGTTTCCACCTGTATGCCGTTTTGTGCTGTGGCATAAAGCAGGTGACACCTGCAAATTCATGACACCGAGCTAAAAATCCATAAATTCATCTTCCAAGGTGGCACCACCTTGAATGAATAACTATGCCTATTCTTAAGATGGTTTCCATTAAGAGATCACTTGTAATATCAAGTCTTAGTCAGCACTGTTGTTTTGTACCTATGTTATTCTAAGTCCTATGTTAGATCTTGTATTCTTAAAGATTTTTAATTCATATAATAGGTTATTTCATAGAATCACTGGGGTTGCAAGGTCTTGCTATTATGTTAACTTGGCTGTGGATGTTTCATGCATGGTAAGTGAAGATATAAATGTGGGATGCAAAGCATTTTACCTGAAGATCTATAAAATGTGGCTGTCTTCCAAGTATACTGGCTATGACTTCATTGCATAATTGCAATATGTTTGTGTATCTGAGTAATCCATTTATCTCTGTTTCTTTTATGCACCTGGAGTTTTAAATTGTCAGATTGTCTTTGGCTTGAGCTGAAAGCAGTTTTTATTCTCACTATTTCCTTCATGACAAATGGCATGTATGAATTTCTCTTGAGATGTTTGGTAATTCAAATTAAGGTTCTGCGGGTGTGATGTTGATCGAGACATCTATGATGTGAATGAGGCTTATTTCTATCTTCATCCAGAGGTGGCAGCGATGTTCAATCCATGAATGATCAGACGTGTCATGGTCTTGAGGGTAATTGGTAATCCTAAATCTCTATCAACTTGTTTTACTGTTGATATAGATAGGTTGATGCAATTGATAGATAGGTTCATTGGCATAGTTCCGAATCCATCTTTTATCTCTCTTGACTTACAAAACAACACTTTTATTGCTGGACCAGGGGGGTTAGTCTCTTGAATACCGGTGGACTCTCCCAGATACTTTCCAGCTATCCAAAGGTCTCGTTAATATAGCCACGGTCAGCCAACTCCTTGAAATAATTGAATCATAGATGGATATTTCTATACAATTTGTTGGAGTTGCACTGACATAGGATATGATCCCGAAAAGACCTATGGACACGTTTGCTGCATAAAAAAATGATTTTCCTGGTGCAGTCAAATGATCTTCACAAAAATCTTCCAATCTCTCTGTTTGGTTCATCACGGACAGGTTCATAAATGGACTGCTCCTCTTCAGCTTCATCGACCTTATCTACTACATTGTGTAGACCCACACTGTAATAAGCTATTTCTTAATGGTTCACCATGTCCACTTTGATTCATGAATTGTGATCTTTGTGCTTATCAGAAGTGAATTCTGTGGTGCGCAAGTCATGCTAATTTCAGAATTGTGTGCGAGAAGCCGCTTACCATCTTCACTTTGAGTTTCTGCTGCTTGGCTACGGCTTATGGTAACTCTTATTTGTTGGGCAAACTGTGTCGTTGCAGAGAACAGGGGGAGCTGGTGGTGGAAGCAACACTAGCAAGAGCCAGATCACAGAGGCCATCTGAGGTTTGGTTGATGAATCTTGTCTCTTTAAAATGACATACAACTGTGATAGTAGGAAGTTATAGTTCTGCTGTTCATTTAGGTTGTTCTTGCTTAAAGCTGTTGTTATATTTACTAGTGTTGTTGTTGGCTACCAAGATTTGGTTTTTATTTCTCCTTGGCAGCTTTGGTGGGATCTATTTCTAGTGGGTTTAAGTTCAATGTTTGTGATTTTGGGATTTCCTTTTGCACTTGTTTCCTTTCAAGGGGATTTTAAAGTTCAATAAAAAAAAATTATTAAATGGGAAGCTTATCGTGTGACATCGTGGGAATTATGACATCTAATCTAGCAGAATCAATCGTTTCTTTTTAAAGCTGCTGCAAATCTATGATACACTTTGTTTCCCTTTTTTTTCCTTGAGAATTGGGATCACTGGAACTGGTTTTGAGGTCTTGGCTGATGTACATGTATTTTGATAGGATGGTTCTAATCTCCTACCCCTCGTCAGAGTGACAATGTGGCATTGCGAGGAGGAAATTTTGGTTTGCTTTTTTCTTATAGATTTTTAATTCCTAATGGCTTTTCCTTGCCAGTTTTGACAGAACTTGTTCTCGTGACGATATGTTTCAAGGGTTGTGGTGTCACGATTTCTTCTGTAGCTATTCCAAAGATCCATCATCTTTGTTTTCCTCCCACTGTGGTTTCTAAAATTGTGATCATCCTTTGGTGTTACTTTAAGATGTTTGTTAAAATGAATAGGTAGTGACCTATTCAATTAATTGTTTTTATACTGATAATTATCATCCCAGATTTAAATCTAATCTGCTCTCATTTGGGTCCACATTCGTCAGCCGTGCATGTGAATCTGCCTGCACTCACGGGAGTAGTCGTGATAAGACAGACAATGGTCCCTCCTCATCTCTTCTCTTGCTTTGATGAAGCAACTGCTGCTGGTTTCCTTGGGAGGGAGAGTTGGGGAATGGATTCGACTCGTAACACAGTCTCGAATCAGTCGAATACGATCATGATGTCAATTATTTACTACTACATCAAGAATCCGAGGATGGATGGAAGTACTGTGACTTGATCTGTCATTGGATCGCAGCAGGTCCATCACAACCAGTACCCACAAATGAACAGCACGATCTCTCTCTCTCTCTCTCTCTCTCTCTCTCTCTCTCTCTTTCTTCTGACACGCTCATTGACAACCATTCTCCCCGTCACGTCCCTCTCACGCACGTACGTCCGCCACTGCTCTCTGCCGCCCCATCTCTCCCAGTCTCCCTCGCCCTCTCTGTGACATTCACGGTATGCCGTCAGCACCCGTCGGTGGGGAGTTCCAGCCGCCCGCACTCCTGCATCGCCCGCAGCAGCTGTGCCCCCTTCCGCCTTCCCCGCGAGCTGCACTCCCCCTGCATCGCAACCACCACCGCCCTCCCCACCTCCGGCGGTGCTGACCCCGCGGCTGGCCCTCCGTAGATCGCCGCCATCACCCCGATGGCGCACTCCCTCCCCCTGCCCGCCATCCCCTCCACCGCCCCCGCCAGCGCCGCCGATGTCGCAGAGTGCGCCCGTACCTCGGCCGCCCCCTCCGCGACCCTGCACAGCAGCTCCAGCGCAGCTAGCGCCCGCTCCGCCGTCGCCCCCGCTGGCCCCGACGCCACTACCGCCTCAATCGCAGCCGACGCGGCTCCGGTCTCCACCGCGGTCCGCCGGTTGTGGTCCGCGAGTAGCAGCGCGAGGAGCACCTTGGCCGCCGGTCGGGCCGATGCCGGGACCCGCAGGGCGGCAACCACCCCGGCCATCACCTTCGGAGGGCAGGGTGCCGGCGAGGGAGCGGTGCCCGGGGCGAGGGATCTCTCTAGCAGACGCAGGGCCGGGAGGCTGACGCCGGTGGCGAACTGGAGCTCGGCGGCATGAAATACCTCAGCGAGGTTGAAGGAGGCAGCGGCACACGTGTCGAGGGCCGGCGGTGGACGCTCCGTGTCAGGCGGTAGTTGCTGCTGATCGTGGTGGTGCAAGGGGAATCTCCACTGGGTGAAGCTCTGGGAAGTAAACGAGGAGGAGGACGACGAGGACGAGGAGGAAGGAGGAGGGCGTCCGGGTTGGGCCGGCCGCGGCGGGTCGGAGGCGACGGACTGCTGAGGAGGGGGCGGCGGCGTCGAGGCTGAGGGCGGAGGAGGAGTAGCCGCAGGTGGCGGCGACGCGGAGGCTAGGAAGGTGGCGGAGGAGGGGGGAGGGGTGGTGGGGCTGAGAACGGACTGTGAGCAGTTGCCGAAGATGCCGCAGGAGAAGAGAGCCCGCGGCTGGGTCTTTAGCTTAGGATGGGGATTCTGGTTGCTGCTCCGGTTCATGAAGGCGAGCTGCCGGCGGCGGAGTCGCAAAACCGCAACAACGGGGAGGGAACGGTCACAGGGGGCGCGACGCCAAGCGAGGAAGGCAATGGAAGAAAGCTTATATCGTCTCTATATAATAATGAAGTGGTGGTGGTGTGTACTTAACCGTGCGAGTCTCACAGGCCATCGCGGCGTTGTGTAGGACATAGACGCCGTGAGGCTCACCGTTTTAGAGCTTAAGGTGTGGGGGGAATAGGGTCGGGGAGATGACGTGGCGATCGGCGGTTGGCCGGTTCAACAAGCTCCTGGGTTCGATGTGCGGTGTGCCATTGATCAGGAAACTTGGGCCTTGGTGCAGCGTGCCAATTGGGCTTGGAGGGCCTTGTGATGGGCCTCCTTAAGGGATGATTAATAAAAAAAAATTCCCTAATTTTTTATATAAAATAAAATAAAAGAGAGAGAAAAAAAGTACTAGTTTTCAATATATTTGACTGTTCATTTGACTTCACATGCATACGATATGCTACTTAATGTACGTGCCACAAACTTTGATGTGATGTAACAATTCATCAGTTCGAACATCAAAAGCCACAATAAGTGGTCACCTCTCTCATCCCACCACACTCTCGGATGGCTTTGCTGGTGTCGATGCTGAAGGGGAAGCACGCACACTGAAGGAGTAGGAGAAAGCACGACCAGAGGCCTGACACCGAATCAGGGACTTGGGACCATCACACGGAATCATTCTTTTGCTGCCCACATCTATTGGTTCTTGCGATGTTCGTACTCTATGCAGTTACCGAACCCACTGCAGACGTCATGTCAATGGATCAGAAGTGAGAACGGTCGAAAGAACCAGCGAAGAAGGTGTTAATTTTGGCTCCGTCGAATCGTGACATCTTATGACTAGATCGATCGAAAACTATCATGTGATCTCAAGCGTTCACGGGAGCACACACAGATACCGCCACTGACGAATGGGCATTACAGAAGTTTTCATCCTCAGCTCAAATCTTCAATCTTCTAAATTACATACATTTACAATAAGAACGGATGAAGAAAAGAGAAGCTCTCATGAGCTGCACTCGACTTGGACATCCTACCATGCACCGACATCATCAAACAACAACGAAAGAGATCAAACCACAGTAAAAAGCCACGTACATAGTCGTCCCCTCCAGCAAAACATACTTCTTTGAACATTCGGAGCCATCCACAGAAGAAACAAGATCCTAATGATCCTAAATAAGTTGCAATATACAGATTTCGGCAGTAGGCAGGATAGGTTATAACAACCTTGCTTTTAACCCGGCAGCTCCACCTGGTTCATCTTGCACACCTCTTGCCGAAATTTAGCGATGGCATGAAAACTGTGCAGTGGGATTACTTGATCTTGACCATAACATCACGAAGGTGATTGCTGCACACTACGTCCCAGGAACTCGCAGGAAACTGAGACTCGATTGTCGCCTCAGGTGTTCCGGAATCAGCTTGTCGATGAGCTCTGGCGATGCACCATTTAACTGCAAAAACAGGTAGCCAGGATTAATCCACTTGCATCATGAAAATTTTAATATTACCAATTTATTTCCATGTTTAATATCCATCTACTGATAATCCTGGCAGTATGGTGGTAGACTTGTTAAATATGATGACAGAAAGAACAAAACTTATGCCAAAAGAGAGACCAATTTGCAAGATGATTAAATTTAAAAATCAAACCGTTACGTGATTACCTAGTAAGGTTCCTTGTAAGTGTTTCTAATTCCCCTGGTTTCAATTTTCAGAAGTAATGGTTTTTGCCATTGCAAATGCACCAAGAATTAGGAAAGTTTGAAAAATCAGCACATGACCGAAATGCAAATATTGGATTTACTTCAGCCTTGTTCCCCGTAACTCTTTAAGCTTAACAAGGGCTTTGTTTCATAAGAAGTTATAACTACCAGAATTGCCTTAAAGAATTGTATGTTTGCATATGTTCTAAAATAAACTAAGAACATAGAAGTGTCAAGGGAGAGAAAAAGATTGGCAGACAAAATGTCTTGAAGCTGTTTTGCTTACTTCTTGTTTGAAGTCAAAAAGTGGAGGCAGAGGACGACCATTCGGCAACCGTGCATTTGGTTCTCGTAGCTCATCAAAGAAGGGGTGAGCACATGCTTCCAACTGAAATCGGAAATACCAAATAATGAGAACAGAGGGGTATCAGATATAAAACATTTCTGGTCTTTACAGAAAACAATATTTTACTACTTTTTATTGAGCAAGGTACTACTATATGATGAGTTTTAGGAGGGAAAAGGGCCTAAATCTTGTTAAACACAAAATGGACCATACTATAGTTGTTATTCTGTCAGCTGCATCACTGTTTTTCAAGAAAGTTTAGGAAGAAAAACTTACTGCAGTGCACCGAAAACTAGGAGAGTATTGGAGAAGGCGCGACGTAAGATCTATTGCCTCAGGAGGCATTCGCTTATGAAATATCTGAAACATTACAACATACTGTAAGACTCTTCAAATAACAAAGGTCAAGATTATGCATCATAATGGAAACAACTATCTTAATAAACAACCAAAATTAGAGAAATATCTCGATAGAAATATATCATAGTAAATGTTAGAACAGAAAGTTCTCACATATCTCGTTCCCAAACCAAAGCAAGCCAACTGTCTCATTCAACAATAGGTGAATATTTTCCAAAAAAATTCAAGATGTCAACATAACAAATTTAATAAGCTAAAGCACTTTCGATTACGAGCACCTAATTGGTCCAGACATCAAACACAAGTACTAGTCTTTCCGAGTAATATTTTTGCTGAAGCACATCTTAATGACAGCTATTTGATGTGTAACCCTCATCAGAGACTTCACAAAACAACAAATGCACTGGTAAGGTGGGATGTTCTCTCTCCAAAAATTATCAATTATTTTCTATATTACTTGTCCGAAAAATAAAATCAGCATCATCCATTAACAAGAAAAGCTTTGGTACAGGGATCATCAAAAGTTTACCAATGTGGGTATCCTCCAGTTCATCATAAATATCACACAACAACACAACTGGTAAGTAACAATTTTCCTGAAGAAAGTCATCTGTTTATAAGCAAATCAGTTCCAAAAGAATCAAGCTTCGGGAAGTTTGCAAACATTCTTTTTTGAGCTTGAGAGTATTAGTATAACTCAGATGATAAAATCAACATGATAAGTAACTGCAAATAACCTTGTGCCATGGATGAGCCTTTATCTGTGGAAACCTGAACTCTGTATAGTTTGGATTCATGCACCGAATTTCTTCACGAGTTGGAGTCCCAAGAACCTGCACAAAAAGGAAACATGCATCCTTGAAATCACAAGAACCAGTATCAACCAAAAGGGCAGAAGAATCATACCTTGATTATCTCAACAAGTTGATCGACAGCACTGTCTCCAGGAAATAATGGCTGAAAAACGTGCAGTATTGTCAGACATAAGTTGTATTTAATTCATTTAACATAGGAATTCAAAAGTCCTCTTTGATGGATTATCAAAGCACAAGAACTGATAGGTAAGATGAAGTGTACCTGACCGAGGAGCAACTCAGCAAGAACACAACCCACTGACCATATATCAATAGATGCTGTATATTCTGTTGCACCAAAAATAAGCTCTGGAGCACGATAATACCGAGAGCAAATGTAAGAAATGTTTGGTTCACCCTTGACCTGGTACAGTACATAGAATATTAGAAAGAAAAAGCAATACTAGAAAACAAATGAAAAAGAGTCAAAAGGTTTCCAATATCCTTGAACAAATATATCAAAGTTAAGTATAGAGATTGCACAAGTGCAAGATGACCTACAAAAAAAACACAAGGATATTTATCCATGAACATGCTGGTAACGGGACTGCAAAAAAAATGTAGAAATAAACCCAATAATCCATTAATGTATTTTGCGTCCTTCTTTAGTCTCTCTTATATATGCATTTTACGCTTTCTCTGGCTCTGATGGATCAATTAAAGAACCATTTTGTGTTAATTCTAACACACTGTTGAACATTGGCATCTCATACACCGTGTAATATGGCATCACAGCTCTCCACAATTTGCCAATTTATGAAATGATTACCTTTGCTTCGCTACACGCTTGGAACTATCAAATGCTAGAATTATAATCCAGTCCAAAAGTACTAGAAAGTCATATTCTATTATAGGATAGGCCAGCCTTCATATCACCTTGTTACGGAATACAATGCAGCCATCATAATGTTTCACAATTGTCAAAAGTCTAAGCATATCAATTAATTTACCTTTTATGTTCACGACTTCAAACAAAGCAAAAGAAAAAGAAGAATAAGAAAATTATGTTCTTGGGAAAAGTGCTAAATTTTCACACAAGTACAAGATGGACTAAACGAAATCATAATGGATGTATCTTCTGATATAAAACAATGCATAAACGAGGTGTCAAATTAATCAATCAATTCATAATAAAAAAAATCCCATTATTATTAAGTAATGCATATTTTCAAAGATCCAGTGAAACTGATTGATCCATTGAAGAACACTAGAAAACATCAAGGCAAAAAGATAACAACCATGAGTGTCATTCCAAGTAAGACATACCAAAACCTTTGCACTTCCGAAATCACATAGCTTGACTTGATGAGTAAGAGGATCTACCTGCAGAAAACTCAACTAATTGTAAAGGAAGAGACTTTACTTGATCAAGCTTGATAGAATATTAATATTTTGAGGCCACAGGAACCTACCAAAACATTTTGTGGCTTTACATCTCTATGGCAAACACCAGGAACTGTATGAATATAAGCCAACCCTCTAAATATCTGAAAACAGATCCAAGTCAATTCTCTCATCCATGTGTCTGCAAAATGGGACTCCCAATGGAAAACAGATGATTTACCTGATACGTATAAAGCTTCACATATATAAGAGGCATCCTCTGATTTACACTGCTGTAATGTCTTAGAACACGATAAAGAGTTTCAGGCACATATTCCATGACCAGGTTAAGAAAAAGCTCATCCCTGCTTGTCGTGGAGAAGAAACAATGCTTTAGTGAGATCACATTTGAATGATCCATTGAACGCATCAGCTGCAGCTCACGGTTTTTGTATCTTGGATCCTGCAAAACCTTCTTTATCGCAACAGTCTCCCCTGTTTCCAAACATTTTGCCTGCCAAAAGACAATCATGTTTCATGTTTGAAATCAAAGCGCTACATGGTGTCATGCTCTTGTGAACAATCAAGAAAGAAAGAAAGCAAAAAGACCTGGAATACAATTCCAAATGAGCCAGTCCCTACGACGCGCTCTGCCATGTAACTGATGGTCTGCATAGCAAGTAAAAGGGCTCAGAATATGGACATCGAATAGCGTGCTCACATTGCAACTTCAGATACAATGATCTTGCGGGTCCTAACCTGCTTGGGTTCACCATTCTTGCCTCCAATGGTGGTGGAAATGATATGTCCAGTGACTGCATCGTTCCCCTCCAAAACAGATGTTTTCTGCAATATGTAGTTAAAAAGGAGTTTAATTAAGACACTTCATATTTCTATCAAAGCAAAAGAACCAGAAAACAGCTGAATTTACTAAAGCAATAAATGGAAAGATCAGAAAGACGGACACAGGCAATTGGACTTAATTTCAAGGCACTCAAACAACTATGAACTGCAATAAACTAAACGGAACTAACAAAAAGAGAACAAACTCATCCAAATTAATAAGCTAAGCTGAAGACCGAGGCAAGGCCTACAGAGAGAGCACCAAGTAACACATGGATTGGATATCAGCGAAGAAATGACCTCAAAAGTCCTCAAGCCAGTATAAAATGGCAGCATCCGCCTCAAGAAATCCGGATATAGTTTGAACAACAAGCACGTGATATCAACATAGTCAAAATCCAACAAAAAACCTCAAAAAAAAAAAGGGTCACTATTCTCGAACGCATTGAAGAGAATGAAAGGCATTGCTCTTTAATTAAGCTTAGAGCAGAGATCGGTGGCCCAAAAGGCAAGAAGAACAACTGTAAGACGTACCAACCCCTAAAGGGAAAGCAAAGGAGAAGCCAAAAATCTTCTCAATCCTGAGTACAATTACACATAAACAAAAAGATCACACGGATGAATCCCCCGCTATATTCTTCAAAGATTTACCAAGAAAAAAGGGCAACAGCATAAACGTACAGATCAAACAGGATAAGGAGAATACCTCGGATCCACACGGCTTCCACCAAAGAAAATGAAATTCTGGCTAGACAAATGCTGTATGATCTCTTAAAGCAGGCAAAAGTTCACATCAAGAACAGATTTTTCCACCCGGAGAGGAGAAAACAACCAAAAAGAACGCTCCGAAATCGCAAAGAAACAGCTCGAATCGCCTTGAAGAAGCAACTTTTTGACACGGGAAGCACCGGAAACACGAAAGACATCGAAAAGGGTTCGAAGAGGGGGAAGAAGTGGCTACCTTGTCTTCATCCATCCCAGGTCGGCGAGGAGCGGCGGCGGGGTTGAGCGTGTCGTGCTCCTGCGGCGGCAGCGGCGGCGGATGATGGGGTCCCAGCGGCAGCGAGGCCATGTGATAAGGTGGGGAAGGACGAGGGCAACGAAAGAGGGAAGGAAAGACTCGACCTTTTCAACTCCTCGGTCGCACGGTTTTCCAGCGGATTCCGCACTGCCGCATATCAAAAAATGTAGGAAACGAGCAACAATTTCGACTCGAAAGAAAAAGACTTTTTCGAAATTGTTCTATTGGCTTGCTCGTAATCCACATCGTCTTTATAACAGCCGCTTTAACCGACATCACATCCGCCAATAAATGTGATGGAAGAATTGTTCGAGCAAGTAATGTAAAACGCAATGGATCTCGACAACCAAAGCAGTGAATAATTGTTGGACCAATAAAGAACTGTAGAACATTTGACAGATATGAGTGCAGAATGATTGAGCAACAAGGGTTCGGGTCATTCATCGATAGCTTTCCACGCCACGGTGGGGGCTCGGGTCTCCATCTCACAGTAGCATCCCTTTGGAGGAGCTCGGGGGTGGCCCGTGAAGCTGCATGAGAACGCCTGTTGATGCATCGCCCACCGAAGCTATGCTGATCGCGATCACGATGATAACCTCGACAATCATTGGTCTACTTTATGGAATTGGGGCCGCAGATGGCCTCGGAAGTCAAGAAAGGGAGTGGATAATCATCACGATAATGTATGTTTTCTTTATACGAGAAAAACCAGGAGTAATCTGTCGACCAATTCTTAAATTCTTATCACACCACAGATTTATCAAAAAAATATATTATTATTTTATTATTCATAATTATTAAAAAATTATCTTTGAATTTAATTTTTTTATTTTTTTTATATTAAATATTTTTAATTAAAATAAAAAATATATCGACTACAAGAGACAAAAAAAAAAAAAAGTTTTCTTTCATCCAAACCTTAGATCTATTTGAAAGTACTAGATTATTCTCAAAATAAATATAGTAGGTAACTTTCAAAAATTATAAAAAATAATCTTTAATACTCATGAAATATATATAAATATTAATAATTTAATATAAAACGATAACATATGAAACTCAAGTATAAGAAAAATCATGATAATTAATATACAATAAACAATGTCGTGTATCGATCACATATAACACATTTTCATAACATCTTGATAATCTTTAATACTCACATGTTCAAGTGAGGACATATTCCTTCAAACAATGGATGAAAGAATCGTCTAACTGTCATGTTTGATGACCCACTAATCCCCGAATGAAATTACTCTATCTACCCTTAGTAGGGATACATAGTCAATTATGATTATTCATTCGGTTTATGCATCCAAGAAGTAATATGATAATTGATTATGACCTACTAGATTATGTCTATTAGTGGCTCGTAATGGGCACATAGCTTCTTTCATATATTATACTTCCAATATAGATTAATCAATATAATCACATATACTATAGGGTAACAATCATATTAATATCATTAACTTAATCTTAAAAAATAATTAATTATTTTTAAATGATATCTTTAGATTAAATTTTTAAGTCTATCAAATCATAAGGACATCAATCTTTCAATATTTTTCAATCAATCAAAACTCAGTAGTCTAATTGACTTGAACAAAACTCAATTCGATGAAACAAATCTTAAATTCTTATAGAATTGATCTAGAATCATCCTAGACTAGTCTAATTTAGATTTGGCTTGAACTAATCAAGTTAATTTGAAATCACCTTGAATTGACTTGAACCGATCAAACCCGATCTCATTAGTCGACTAATAAGTTTAAATAAATAAAGGGAGAGAAAATAAAAGTATAGTGTTTAGTGTTAGCCAAGATCAAACCAACTCACTTTTAAGCCTTGGACAGGTCACCTACATTGCACATGTCTATTCTAGTTAGCATGTTAGATTGAGGTACAACAGAGAGATAATAATGTGTCTAACGCCAATCACATAGTTAAAGCGGGCTTAACTTCAATGGTTGAAATGAGGCTTACTCATGGGTTGGGCTTGATTTTACTATTGAATTGAGTCACACTTGACTCATGAGATATGTTATGCTTAGCCACATAAGTTAAGTTATACCTAATCTTATGTGTTTGGTTATCCTTGGCCACATGAGTTAAGTTGTAATTGGTTATATAGGCTAGGGTTGGGCTTGACTTTACTATTGAATTGAGCCACACTTGACTCATGGGATAAGTTATGCTTAACCACATAGGTTGAATTATTTATACCTGATCATATGTGTTTGGTTATCTTGGCCTCGTAAGTTGAGTCATAATTGGTTATATAGGCTAAGCTATACTTGACCACATAGGTTGGGTCATATCTAACCACATGGGCTAGATCGTATGTAGCCATATTGACCGAGTCATGCCTAATTACATAGACTAATTCATGCAAAATCAACTTAACACCTTAATTTGACTATTCTTATTAAATTAAATTTTAATATTTTTAAAATATTATAAAATAATAATTGACCTCAAGTTCATTCTTTTTTTATGAATTAACTAATTTATATTAATGATTTTAAATTTAAAACTAATTAAATTATAAAAATTCCAAAATTTCATGAATTAAAACTATTATTAAATTAACAAATTTAATAATCATTATTTATTAATCACAAAAATTTAAAATTAAAATATTATTATGTATCATATAAATTATAATAATTATAATATTAAAAATGTCAAAATATGAATAAAACTCACTAATAATAAAAAATAGAGGATCCTACCTTTTCTCAAAATTTCTATCATCAATCATTATAAGCAATAATTTAATTTTTATTTTAAATTTATTTTTATTTTACTTTCACACACAAAGATAAAATTTTAATATTTATTTTTATGGTTCACACATAAAAAATAAAATTCAAGATAATTACTTTCTAAAAACCACGTCACTCATTAGAAAATAAATAAGCTAATAACTTAATTGATTGGCTAAATTTCTAACTTATTCACATGATGAAGAAAATGAATTTTAATAATTTTCTTAACAATACTATGCAAATAAGAAAAGTAATAATTCAAATAAAACAAGACGTTATTAATGGTAACTTCAAGAGAGAAAAATCTCCTGTGATTACAATTTTGACCGGAAAACAGTTAACGAGGAAACCAGGGAAAACCACCTGAGTTGTTCCACCTAAACCTTTGGTCCGGCGGATTCATGGCGAAGTTGAGATCATTCTTTCCTAATTGCAGCATGAACAAAACTGGAGGAAAGGAAATAATAGACATGCTTCATAAAGAGAAGATTGATCTATTGTATTGCCCATCAAACTCAGAATATACATGATATGAGTACTAGATTTGATTAAAATCTACATTTGTATCGACTCAACAATGTCTACCACCTCATGATGGAGCAAAGAAGCGGTTCAGGTTGAATGGGAGAGTATAGAACTCCTCGTTCCTGCTGTCTCCCTTGAAGGTTCGGAACCTCGTCCACCATGGCATGCCTCGGTCTGCGGCAGCGTCCTCGAAGTCGAGTGTGTTGTCTAGGAAAACTGCAACTATCAATGCCACGGTTGGCGGGGAGGAGAAGATTGTGTTTATGTAGTCATTGAACTGCAATAGGATAATGAAGATACATGAATCAGATCAGGAAAATGCTAATAAAAACAAGAAATGTAAAACCTCTCGAAAAATCCTTAGTATATTTCAAGCTTAATTTGTTTGAGATGTTCTTCTTCTTTTTCTACAGTGCATTGACCGCTCTGCAATTTCTGAATGCTTGTATTTAGACTTATGATTACGGATTATGCTCCACAGAATCAGATAAAAGTTACTATTAAGTTGTTTATGCTCGATCTAAGTTAAAGACCGGCAGATATAAACCAAGTGTGCGACACAAACCCATCCTGCGTTGGTGTGGGCTGGACCATGCTGAGCACTCAGAGTGTAGCGGAAGAAGTATTGAGGAACGGATAGGCCAAGGAAGATGGAGACGCCAACGATGAAGAGGTTGCGCATGGAGTTCATGTTGGTGAACTGCAACAAGGACAGCCCCACCGCAGCTTGAACGGAAAGAGCAGAAGAGAGAAGAGATTTTAGTGTCTCATCAGTAATCATGAAGTCCAATTCTGTATGACACCAAAGGGAGGAGGACATACGTACCCACAAGCCCGAACAGAACACAGTAAACAGCAGCAAAGATGGTGAATGGAATGGAGGCAAAGAAAGCTCCAAATTTCCCTATGTCAAAAGAGCAGCTTCAATATTATCCCACATCAAGCGAAAACCTATTTTAATTGATTGGGAATGTCAGCTTATCGCTCACCCATGATGGAAAAAAATATCATGAAACAAGCTGAGATCTGTGTGACCCTACGACTCCCAACTCTCGTTGATCCGAGAAGCCCCACATTCTCCCTGTTGTTCCAAGTTATTAAGCTTCATAGAAAATATGCCTATGATTACCGGAAAAGAAAGATCATCGTGAACATACACAGAGACAGTCGAACCACTTGCAGTGCCAAATAGCCCATCAAGTAGAATTCCTATTCCCTGTTAGTTTTTGAAGCATAAAAGAAGACATCAATCATCATCCGTTCATTCTCCATAATTATATTTAATTAAAGATTTTACCCGGCACAAGTTCATTCCGTAAGGTAGATAAATCACCTGCCATCCAATGCCTCGGCTCAGAACATGAGCTGGAGGTGGTGTTGCACTGGCTAGGCGGGCTGCAGCTTTGAAAGCGCCTGTTGACTGTGGCAAAACAAGAAACCTATCAGCTTAACAACAACATATAGAAGCAGTAGTGCACCATCAAGAACAGCAGAGTTCAACATTCTAACCACTTACCTCGATCAAGGATACAAGGACAGCAGCCATCATCCCAAAAGAATGGCCAGCATTGAAAGTTGGTGCACCCCATTGCAATGGGTATGGAATCTTTATCCTGAAAGCTCTGGCGTCAGGACAACAAATAGATGCTAGACATTATTGAAGGAGGATAGAAACATAAAAAGATGGGTAAGTACCAGGGAGCAGAGGAGATGAGATTGGCTCGGTCAGTGCGACAGTTGACCTGGGTGCGTTCTGGCCGGTGTTTGTATGCACCACCAACCGTAAGCAAGTAGGCATAAATCCATATGATGACAATGGTTATCAGAAGAGAGAACCTCTCCAATATGGGCCACCGTCTAATGTGCAGATGCTTTAGATACTGATCAAGTTGTCACGTTTGGTTAGAAAGAGAATTTGCTAGGAGACAGTAAGGAAGAACTTGAAATCAGTTGCAAGCTGTCTGGGAGAACTGAATCACTAAATTGTGTCAGATGAACCAGTCAGTACCTGGGAGGATGCAATGAATAGGATAAGCATTGGAATGCCAATCTCCACACATCTTCCAACCTGATGCACAAACGAGCTAGGTTGAATATTGAATGTGATGTTGTAATGCCCATCTCTTATAGAAATTTCAGAACTTCTCTTTATATATTCAGAGCAATAAATTTTTGTCACAAAGACGAGGACAAATTTTGTAGGAAGAAGGTCGCCAAGAGAATTTCACCTACCAAAGATATTTTTCGCTTAACTTACCAATGGACAAGATTTCAAAACAACTGAGCAAGTCCGACACATTTCTGACAGTTCTGAGGTATCAAAGTATGTGCATACATCAATTTTAGTTTTTGTAATTACATATCATACCAAACAAACAATATTGGTTTTAAGAATCTAAAATCAAGTAGATAATACTATGTTTACATACTTTAATTGGAAGTTCTGATAACAAAGTTTTCTTAATGAATTTGTCCGAATTTTCCTGGAATGCACCATCTCTCTAGAAATGTACAAATCCGGTGATAAATTTGGTTGAAAAACATAAACATAGTAGATCATTTTACCAAAATATTTATGGGTTCATAAACATAATGCACCATGCCATTTACCACCTTTTGTGAAAGGTTTCAATAGGTAAAGAAAGATGCTTATTCATGTTACAGAGTTTACAAGTGATACTGCAATAGGCAAACGAAGTAGGTTACAATAGTTACATTTTGTACACAATCTTGTGCAAGTAAGAAGTTCACCATGCAGAAAATTGGAGGGTGACCATCTAATAACAGGCAGGATGATTACAATAATGCAAGATCAACATGTGCATATGCGTGAAGAGAAAATGTACGAGATGTGAATCAAGATGCACCGCTTCTTAACATCCATGAGACCGACGCACAATAACTTTACATGCTAAACTGAAAAGCTAACTATACCTTCATGCAAACAAATCTTACAGATATCAAAGAAAAGGAGAGGTAATAGAGGTAGTACCACGGGGAATCCTCTGTCGAATAATCCAAATCCTACCAGTGAAACCACTGGAACCATTCCAAGAGGGCTGAAAAATCTGAATAAGGAACAAAACCATCATTTTATGGTTGGCCCAATGAATATCTGTAACAAGCTAATAAAATGCATGTTATTTAAGCAGACATGTCATAGCATTGGCCCAGAATTGTCCCCACGTTAATAGAGTCCAAAACTATCCATTTGGTGGATCCTTTCATGCAAGTAAACTGTCATCATGTTCTACATCAAAGAGAAAACCATGTTGGCTGGTATAAGTGATTATTGCTTGATCTGATGGACCACATTTGTTCAATTATTCTGCCAGACAACATGCCAGGAAACAAAGATATATCTTATGGTGGTAGAAAACTAGGTCTACCTGGAGCAGATCCCCCACAACTGGCTGTAGCCCAGAATGATCTGAATGCTGGAAGAGACAATTAAAGCTCCTTGTATCGCTCTCATGGTTTGGAGGAACCTCTGCTCACATGCAAACAATGCAGCAGTCCAAACTATTCATAGGAAAATTAACCAAATTTTCTTCTATGACTATCAGAATAGAGGGCACCGTATTGAGCAAAAAGTAATGGAGCAGAACTTATTACAGAGGGACTAGATAACTTGCTGGCTTACTTCATGGTCGTCAGTTATCTGCGCCAGCGATGAGTCATGAATTATGGATATGATTGGAACCACAAATGCGTATGAACCACCGATGACAATTGGAAGTCGAGTTCCGAATAGGGTTTGAAGCAATGTATTTATTCCAGACACAAACAACAATGTCTGGACCACCTTTACCTTATCATCCTGCAACAATGGAACTCACTATCAGAACTCCACTAGTAGCCCTGTCAATCTGAACAGTTAGATAATAAAAACAAGTGACACCAACAGAAATTAAGTGGGTGCTGATCGATATGACACATAATAAGTAATCATCCATGGCTTGGAACAATCAATTTCATCTTGTATAGCACAATTGTAGAAAGTGAAAGTATATTAACTCAACAATCACTTCTATCAGTGCTTTGGAGCTCGCATGAGGAAGTCAATGGATACTAAATCTAAGTTACCTAAAACACTTAGTAAACAATAAGAATATATCTTCTTTCCTTCATATGTCATCTTCAGGTAATTCCTATGTCCATTTCTATAAGATTTGCCTATTTTTCTTCTCAAATTGCAACAAATTAACGGGAAAGACACTGATCAATTGTCAAAATGTAACAAAACACAGAAAGGAAAGAACTTGCTAGAGATAAACTGGACAAGATCGAGTTTTGATGGAAAGACTCGGGACTTACATCAGTTCCACCCATCAAGTGTACCAGAAGGGTCGGGATCATCACCGCCGTGCCCAAGGCCAATATGTAATGCTGAAATCCCAACGCAATAGCCTCTCCTATACTCCAAATCGTCAGGCACAAACCAGAACGCACTCGGTACTAACACACACCATTGAAACCGGAAAAAGAAAAGAGAAGCAAAATCAAGAAGGACGGTGAAAGCGATTCAACGCACCCCAAGATGGATTGGAATCGATGCAGTACTCCAAACCATGGAGCTGATCCATGGGCGGATGCGTGATCTCCTCCGGCTTGACTTCTGCCATCTCCATAAGCTACCAAACTCCCCAAACGCACAAACAGGAAAAGAGAAGGCCTGAAAACCGATAAAAATCTGATCTTTCTCGTTTCTTCCAAACGGTACCAAGATGGTTTTTTTCCGACTGCTACGCGGATGAGAAATCTAATAGCGAAAGAAAAGGCTGGAGAATCATTGGTGAAAGCTGAGAGATACTGTGGTGTCAAAGAAAAAAAGACACGGAGGATGATACGAAGACAGAAAAGAACACGAGAGAGAGTGACTGCGCGAGAAAGAACGTATGGCCTCGCTCGCAAACACAACAAAGAAAGAAAAAACTAGGCGGGGATGATTCAGAGGGCCAAAAAAACCACTTCTTTGCCACCCACCAAGTGACCTCCCCCCTGTTCTGCATTGTTCTTTATTCATTGTCCTTATTGTTTCTGGGAATTGGCCCGTTGGTAATTTTATGACCCAAATGCCCCTGCCATTGGCCTGTCACAAAGCTGTAAGAACAGGCGTTTGCGCAGCTTTTATGCGAACTATTGTCCCGTTTTACTCGTTATTTCCTTTGTGAATTAAATACTGGGGAAAAATCATTACCCTTAGTGATGCAGCAAATAAAGGTTTTTTCCTAATATAATGATCTATCAAATCCTTTAATTTAGTCTAGAATGAGTTCAGAAACAAATAGATTTAAATCTATCGAACATTATAATCCGTCCATTCCAATAAAATCGATCGATGTATCTTTTTATTGGGTTTAGAACGAGTTTGCATACAAAAATAATTGAGCTGGGATTCAAATTTAAGTATCTACGGTTAATCGAATATCAAACAATTAATAGCTACCTAATGCGTTATCATTCCTATTATTTTCGTGATTGGTGATGTGATATTTGTTGTCGGTGGGAGATCTCCTGGTTCAGTGAATTATTTTAATATATAATTCTTTAAAAAAAAATATTAATTCATCCTTCCAGGTCCAATGAATTATTTTCTCGTAAAAAAATTATTACATTATGATGCAAGAGAGCCATGAAAAAAACCAAAAAGAAACAGTTTTGTTGGCTCATCTACTCTGGCGGAGACTGATTGAAAGCTCTGAAGAAATTTTGACCAAATTGGTAGTCCAATTGTTGTCCCAATTTTGCCTTATTTAGGCCCAAGCCCACGGCCTATATGGAATCGTTCCATGCGTTGACCGCGGACTTCAACGGGGTTTGGAAATGGTATTGTTTACTGATACAAAAACTGGCATGTTTACCAAATGAACATATCTATATTTTTCTGTCAGACCGACAAGTCCGATTAGGTATTGTTTTTGTGGTGGCAAAATGAGAAACTGCCAAAATAGTTCGTCAAGTGATGCAGGTGAATGCATTTGTTTGACCAGGTCAAGACGAATGCAAGTCTTCCTTGGCCGGCTGTTAGAATCTATATTTATGCGACACGTACGTTCTATTTGTATGGCTTCGATTGCTGTCCTATATGATCGGTGGGATTTGTCATTTTATTTAGGTGATTTTTAGTATCTGCATATAGTTTGAGGCTTTGAGATGGTAATTAAGTATATATATATATATATATATATATGTATTAGTCCATAGTTTTTTACATTTATGTCATAATTATTATTCAAATATATTTGAATTCTACGAGTAAGCAGGTACTACTTTGCCTCACGCTTTGTAGCGTGTGATTCACGTGCGAGCACGACCGGCGCCCCGTGCCGGTCGTCCCGCCGCCCGCGGCGAGCAAAACCGCCACGCGCGATGAATACTAAAGAACACGCATACTTCGAGGTCCCTTTTTTGGCCGTACCTGACTTTGTCAACCGACGGATCTCCTGCGGGCTCTCAATTTCCTTCAATTGTAAGGCGTGTGCGCACGGGGGTATCGGTTAATGGGTACCTCAACCTAGAAAACATTATTCAGCCGTCATTTTCGGCCGCGTGGCAGCTGACGACAGCTATAATAGACGCTTTCCTTTGCTTTCGAACTTTCTTTTACTCGTGTACGTGCTTGGTCGGTACCCGAACGCCTATCTGGGGGACTCCGGTGTTTGCAGATTTGGGTCCTACATGGGAGACCTGTCGTTTCTCCAACCACAGGGCCGGTTAAGGAAGCGGCTACGACGAACGGACAGAAACGGTGGTGCCCCTCCGTTAAAACAGCCAACTTATTATGCCCGTGCTCCTTGTTCACTGGGAGACACCCATAACCAAATCACCTCCAGCTGTCCGTTCCATGGCGACGCGCCTCACCCGTCCTTCACCAATAAACACTGCCGTACTCCCACGCGTCCCTACAAAGCCGGAGTTCCCGGTCGAGCAAGTGCTACTGAATGTATGAACTCGACCGTCAGATTGAACAACGTACGAATCTCAAAGCAACTATATGGCCGCTGATGCCTTCCTTTCCACTTACCCATGTTGACACCCTCGTCGACAAACGTGGGCGCCACCACCGTTATCCAATAGAAGAATGCGAATTGAGCGATCGGTGAAAATAAATGATTTGTTTTCCTTTTATTTCGGAACGAGTCGATGAGGGGTTGGGAGCGAAAGGCAAACGCAAAAGACAACAGACGTTGCGATGCCCGTTATCTTAAACGGAGGTCCCGACTAGGTACTCCTCCTTCCGTCGCTTTACCGTCACGTTTTCTTCGTCTAGGAGAAGCTATCGCTCCGCCACCGACGCTTCCGCCCCTGCCCTTTATATACTACCATTCGATATCTTGAAGCCGCTTCTCCTTCCCACAGATCCCGTTGCGACGGGAAAAAAGGGCAATCGATAGGCGCCTTCAGAGAGAGAGAAATAGAATTGGCTCTGGCTCTGGCTCTGGCTTGACGAGGGGAAGGGAAAGGAAGAAGAAGAAGGGTTGGGATCCGATCCCTGATGGAGGAGGCGGTCACGATGATGCCGAGCGAGCACGACAAAAGGAGAAAGAAAGACGGCGGCCTCCTCCTTGGTCGCTTCGAGGTGGGCAAGCTCCTCGGCGCCGGGACCTTCGCCAAGGTCTACGTCGCCCGCGACGTGCGCACCGACGAGCTCGTCGCCATTAAGGCCCTCGACAAGGAGAGTATTCTCAAGAGCGGCCTCGTTGCGCACATCAAACGCGAGATCGCCATCCTCCGCCGCGTCCGCCACCCCTATATCGTCCAGCTCTTCGAGGTCATGGCCACCAAGACCAAGATCTACTTCGTCATGGAGTACGTCCGCGGCGGCGAGCTCTTCTCCCGCGTCTCCAAGGGCCGCCTCCTGGAGGACACCGCCCGCCGCTACTTCCAACAGCTGATCTCCGCCGTCGCCTTCTGCCACGCACGCGGCGTCTTCCACCGGGATCTCAAGCCGGAGAATCTCCTCGTCGACGATCACGGCGATCTCAAGGTATCGGACTTCGGCCTCTCCGCCGTTGCCGAACAGATGCGCGGCGACGGGCTTTTCCACACCTTCTGCGGCACGCCCGCCTATGTCGCGCCCGAGGTGCTCTCCCGGAGGGGCTACGATGGCGCCAAGATCGACGTCTGGTCCTGTGGCGTCATCCTCTTCGTGCTTATGGCAGGTTACCTTCCCTTCCACGACCGCAGCATCGTGGCCATGTACCGCAAGATCTACAAAGGCGTCTTCCGGTGCCCGCGATGGTTCTCGCAGGATCTCGTCCACCTCCTCCACCGCCTCCTCGATGTCAATCCCCAAACCCGAATCACCATTCCGGAGATCATGGAGAATCCCTGGTTCAGGAAAGGGTTCCGACACGTCCGATTCTACATCGAAGACAACCAGTTACATAGCATAGATGATCCCGAAAATGATCCCGAAGATGATCCCGAAGATGACCAACTGCAGAATAACGAACCTAAGCAAGATGAGACATACGAATCGGGGTCGGAATCGGACTGCTCCGTCGCTTCCTGCCCGCCTACATTCTCGGACGAGCAGCACCACCATCCATTGCCAAGGCCGCCGAGCCTTACCGCGTTCGATATCATATCTTTCTCCAGGGGATTCGACCTCTCAGGGTTGTTCGAAGAAACAGAGGAGATGACCAGGTTCCTGTCCAAGGAGCCCGTGTCACAGATCATATCGAAATTGGAGGAGATTGCAAAGGTTGTGAGCTTCAAGGTCAGGCGGAAGGATTGCAGGATCAGCTTGGAAGGGACGAGAGAGGGGGAGAAGGGCCCACTGACGATTGGTGTGGAGATATATGAGCTAACGCCATCCATGGTGGTGGTTGAGGTGAAGAAGAAGGCTGGAGATGGACAGGAGTATGAAGAGTTCTGCAACAAGGAGCTCAAGCCTGGGTTGCAACACCTCGTCTACGAGTCACCTCCCGTTGTCAGAACCACTTCCAACATGTCATAATGTAAACAAAAGGTAATTTATTCTTCTCCCATTTCAGACACCTTCCATGATTTGGTTCAAATTATTTATGCTGTTGCCATTGAGTATTCATTACTTCTTGCTCAACAGTTTCAAATTACAAATTAGGGAAATTCAAGTGTTTATCATGTGTTAGTATCAAGCATCGGAAACTTCAGATTTTGGGGTTGAAGCTTTGTAAGCTTATTGAACTCAACATTGACAATTCTGCATTAGAGTTTGTGAGGAAGTTTCAACCATGCTGTTTTGACTGGAATCATTTTTTTCCCACTATACTCGATGATGTTTGAGATAATGGCCCATCCTCTTGGAAGGCATTACAATTCTCCAAGTTGACCTTAGCAAGATAATCTTGCAAATAGGGACTCCTCATTTTCTTGTGACTTTCTTCAATTTTGTAGTTAGGCTATAAATCAATAAGATGAATCACTCCAGTTTGGAATTTCTAATTTGAGATTTCAGTCATTCGGTAATTCCCAATAAGATCTATGAGTATCTTTCAGCAGTACAGCTAGTGATAAAATAACCAAGTTCCACATTTGAAAATTCTTCAATACACCTTAGTTTGGTCTCTGTCCTATAATCTCTTGATTGTGGATTGTAAATGAACATCCATTGTGTTAGTATGGGAAAATAATTCGGAAGGATGGGAGACTTTGAACAGACCTGTACTCTATTGCAAGTTTAAGACTATTAGATAAGGTCTCCAATTAGCCATGCAAAAAATTCAGGTGGAATTTGATATTGCTTTTGTAATTGATGTTCTGGAGAAGATAGTGCAACTGCCTTGGTCAATCCTCCTGACTGTAGTTAAGGATGTATTGGATTGTAGAATCATATATACATATATATATATATATATATGTATGTATATATATATATGTATGTATATATATATATATATGTATGTATATATATATATATATGTATATATATATAAATATATATATGTATATATATATATGGAGGACAACTGTGCTGTCCACTAGCCAACAAACTATACACA